AGCAGACGGCACAATAGCTTTTATTTACGTGGGAAATTTTGGATCTTATGGCACATCTTTTTGTTTTGCATGCACTTGTTTCTTATGCATGAAGAGAACAATGGCAACTAAAGTACAAGGTTTGCCCAAAATTAAGCAGAGCGAGAAGGGCAGCTGTCAGAAAAATCTCCCCATTCCTCACGCCAGCGATCTGGCAATGCTGCCTCCCAGAAGCACGATGAAAGAGGACACACATTCTGCAATGGAATAAAAACCCAAACAACAACAACAAACTGAACTGCAGGAAAATGAAGAAGACCCCTCCATACGCTACTGGCTGAATGTCAGGCTTTTTCACAAATATGCTTCTTACAACAGGAGAGGAAATGTGCGAAAGGTCTCTGTGAAATCCTAAACGGCGACTCGAGGATGCTTGTGCGCAGCACATGGGAGCCTCACAGTCACCTCAGTCCCAGTGGAAGGCACACTCACTTCTGAAGTTTTCGGTAGACAGGGGTACTATACACATCTGAGAAGTTTGAGAGCTCAGGCTTCTGAGATATTGTCACTGCAGGGGGCTCTTATCTTGTCCCAGCACACAATGGAACATTTTGAAAAGACAAAAATGAATTGCAGGGAAAAAACCCTTTAGAGCAACTTCCTAATTGTGAGCCCAGCTTCCAAGCTCTCCTCACTTTTAAAGGAACTGCTGGCCCACAGAACCAGGGGTGTCTTTCTCTCTGATGTACAAGAAGCAGCTCTTGAGTTACCGTTTGTTCTTTTGCCCTTTTTTCCTCTATTCTTTCGTGTCAGTCCGATGAGAGACAATTCTGGCTATAGAAGCAATGGTTACCATAGTCAGAAGACTTCCTGACATAAAAACACTGAAGCTGATATTCATAATGGAATCCCTTTAAATGTTTAATTAGAGTCTTATGTTTGCTAGAGATGGTGGTGGAAAACAGGATTTTTAATGGGAAATTTCAACATCTCAGGACTGGCTTTCAGAATAATTTTTTTCAGAGAAATGGACATTCCCAAAGTTGTACCTTATGGAAATTATCTTCCTTTTATTTAATTTCAGATTAAATATACTGCTTTTTGATACTTTTACATAATTTTATGCTATGTAAGTAATTTTTTTGAAGGCAGGAGGAGGAAAAAAGCATATGCTTTGCTTTACTGAGATACCATAGTATCTCAATAGTTGCTTTTAAAACTCCTATGGTCAGATGCTACTTTGTACCGATCAAATTGTTCTGTATCTTTTTTTGTAATTCAACAGATCTCCTATTTGTTCTGAGATTAATCAGACTGGAAGACAGATCAAGACAGGTTCAAACTCTTACTTTTATTAATGCCAAAAATACAGATCAGTGAGGCATTTCCACAGTTCTGTACGTGATGTTGCAGAGGTTGTCTGAAACATACTCCTAAAGCCTACGGTGATTTGGAGAGGGAGGAAAACAAAAACAAAACAAACCCCACAGTGAGACCTCTTTAGTAAAAACTTGAAATCAAAAATCCTGTTCCAATCCTGTGGTCAAGGATGGTGAAAACTCCATATGGTCTAACACATTATCACTAGCAAAGCAAGAAGTTCTAAGACAAGATTTTTCATGCAGTATTTACTTTTACAATTATAAGATTTAAATTTTGTTGATCACATAAGAAAGTAAAGGTATTTACCTTCGTACTACACCGATAATGACTGTATTTTCTGAGGGTTTTGTTGTTCTGATAGACCTTTAAGTAAAGAGCAAATCATTTAACATTTGTAAAGTTCACATTTCAGTCAAAACATTACAGAATCTTCACACAGTACTTTTCTTAAAATATCTCTTTTAAATGGTTTAACAACAAAACAAAAAGCAAATCCCAAGCATGCTGGACCACTAAGAAAGCAGAAGAAATTTAGCAATATCTGAGACTATATGAAAACAAGACACAGAGGACGTAGATTAATCTAAACCTCAAATACTCTCAGCAGGAGATAGCAAAAATCCTCTCCTCTGAAACAGCACGTAATGGACTTGTTTGAAGGACTTGGCCTCCCTTGTTTTACATTATTCTGGGACAGAAGGGTAAAAATGTAACAAGGGGAACAACTCTGATATCTAGGCCTTTGTCCGACGAAGATCTTATCTAGTTATTTTAGTTCAGCAAGAAGAGCCTCTGTCCCAGTGCCCTGAACCCACCACGCTCACGCAGGGTACATAACCTGACCCCACCACCCCCACCCCACGGACTGTATTTAGTCTAGACACATTCCCAAGGGGTATTTCAATGGAAAGTCACTGAAGCAAGGCACCACTGCCTGTCAAGTCTCTATGGAGCGACCCAGAAAGGCAAATAGTTTTCCCCTTTTTTCATACTTTATAGCCGTTTGTGAAAGTATTTTTGGAATCAGTTTGCAACTTTGCTCTTCATAACAGATTTTCAAGTGTTGTAGGTATGGAAACAGGCACACAAAACATTGCCTATTTGCATCTGGAGTTACTCAACAGCAAGTGCCATTTCAAAAAATTCAGAACATTACTGAAGGGAACGTATTCATTACATCGCTTGGTGGCACTTGTGATCTCTGCAGTTAATTTAATGTGCAAACAAGGAACCAGGTATTTGAAAAAAAAAATAGTTCACTATGGCAAGAAATTTTGACACGGTGGCTCCAAGATCAAGCTTCAGATATCCTAGCACACAACCAAAAATGCTGCAGATAGCACATTTAAAGCGCTGAGGTAACATTATTTGATACTGCCAGTGGACACCCGTCTGAAAAAGTATCAGCTTTTGATAGATTTTCTAAAAGGGTCATATAAAAACAAAAAAACCTTTGATCAGGTGTTAACTGTATAGTTAAGCACCAGTTACACTGAAATTGTGCTTACCTGCATAATGCTTCTGCATCAAAGTATCTGGAATGTCTATGGTCAATAATGATAATGTCATGGTGTTTATCAAGAAAACATTCTAGTGCAGACTCAGGTGTCCTGGCAATATTGCATCGAAATCCAGCTTTCTCACATGCCCAACAGAACCCATTACTCTGGTTATCTTCTTTGGCAAACACTAAAAGTACCTGGGTTAAAGACAGACAGTGATTCATTACAAACAAGTCTTCCATATACAGTAGATTCTGTGACTTTTGCCTGTTCTTAACACGTTTTTAAAGCCACTTCCAAGGGTTAATCCATTAACAGAATTGCTCTCTACATACTATTATTGCTTTTTATAATTGTCAGTATACAGAGGCGTTTCAAGTGCATAAACAGTCTGCCAGAGCCATTTATATCCACATGGGATGAACAAGTTTGGGAAATGGCACTCATGTCATCCGCTACAAAGAAATCTTAGGCTTTCTTTGTGACTAGATGCCTACGTCTCAGACAGTGTACATGAAATAACAGCAAGTCTTCTTTTCTTCACTGAAATTGTCTCACATAAAACAATTTTCTTGGGTTTTGTTTTTCTTGCCAGGATCATACTTCAGAAAAAAATGCCATGGTTCACCTCCTGTGAATTAATTTTTAACAGTGTTTCAACGGCATGATGAAAAATGTGCTTTCCTTTTCATCTCATTCTAGTTCCCCAAAGTACTGGCTGCAGCCAACTCTGCGGGGTTTCTGGAAACTACAGACAGGCTGGTCAAGATGAACTCAAGCAAGACTAAAATCCTAAGCAGTACCTCTGCATATGGAATACATCCCCGTGTGACTCCTATGCAAGGCTTACCAAGGGATTTCTATCACAGGAGATTATCACGGTTGAAATCCAGAACTGGAATTCAGATCTATGAGCCAGCATTTCCTCTATCCTAACTCGCTGTGTAATTGCCAATAACATTAATCTCTCAGCCTTCTTAAAATCAATAGAATGCCCACATACTTGAAGTATGATAAGGCCCACTTGTTTCTAAAACGTATTTCAAATTCTAGGATTAAATATGTTTCATAAGATAAACAAAGTCTGCTAAGGAAGACGCTCACTGATGTGATTCTGCTTTGTGTCAGGATATTTTGTATAAGGAAACTTCTTTTGCCTGAAAGAATACAGAGAATGGCAGGCTAGAGATCTATGTTAGTGTTGATTTTCTGGATGATTCAGTACATGCAACCTTTTGGGAAAGACAGATAACTAAAAACCAGCACTTGGTCTATTGTCCCAAGACACCAACCTTTCAGTAATTCAATCAAACCACACTTAGATCTAATGCTTTGGTCAGACAATAATGTGGAGCATGTGTAACTCGCACCCATCCCGCTGCTGTTTATCTTCTGGGTGATTTTAGGAATTCCAGTGCTGGTTACACTTTGGACCAGGTTGGTGGAATGTCTACCAGTAAATCTTAATGCTCCCACATAGTGCGTAATTTTGTAAGAACAAAGGACTTGGTACTCATTTAGTTCAGATTCCCTTTACAGCAACCTGCAAAACTCTTCGCAAAAACATGTCATAGTTTGGGCTATACTTAGTGGAGTTAATTTATAACATTCTTAAAGGGTGGAAGAATGGTTTTTAGCAATAGCACAGCAAGTCCAAAGATCTGAGTTGTATGACAGACTCTGGCACAAATGTAACATTGTCTAACTTCTCCTTCCCTCATACCTGCCAGCTGCATTACCAAGATAAATCTGCAGAATTTTAGAGTGGCCTATGACTGGACAGAAGCGATACAATCATTAATGACAATAAAGGAGGCAGAAATATTCGAGGAATGTTTCTGATTTATGCTTGGGGAACAGCTGGATGAGATCCTAAGATGCGATGTTCAATGCTATTACTGTCTGTTCTGACAATAGCTCAGGAATATGTTGAATTGCAGCTCTTGAAGATGGACATTTTCAAACTATCACGTCCAGATCACTTTCACTAAGGAGTTTTGCCATTACTGAGGAACATCCTGGGTTATTAATGGGTTTAGTAGGCCATGGGATACAGGAGAATTTTCAGAGGAAGTCCAAAGGAGTCATGTATCTGCAAACCTCATACTCATCCCAGACAAAATAAGGGGACAACTGACATATGACATTTATTAATAAAGATATAAAGGAGGATGAATTAATGCCAGTCAACAATGAATAACAAAAACCACCATACTTTGCCAAGCTCACTTCATGTATTTTGTGATTGTATTGGAGGTTTGGTTGATGCTGTATAATGCGGCTGTAACAGACCTCAGAAAGACATTTGGCTTAGTATCATTTTAATGAGATTTCGATTAAGAATTGACTACCAGTTAAATATAAAACAAGGCACACACTAAATTGATTACAAGCTAACTGACAGCAGAAAAAAAATACAGATAGGTCTATTTTTATGAGCTGAGATGGCTGGAGAAAAGCAGCAGGATGTGTACGCCATTGCATATATATATAATGTCATTATAAAAATCTGTTAGGTGCACGTTAGCACTTGACAAAAACGCTCTGTGAAGATCTCTATACCCCAAAAAATCCAGTCACAAATTCTAAGCTAACATCTGTGAATTTTTAGAAATTAAGATTTCAGCTTGAACTGCTGCAATACCTGAAGTTGATCTTGATGAAGTCTCATAGGGCCAAACTGCACATCTGTTACTAGTGCCTAGAAGAAATAAGAAGGAATCTTATTAATACATATGCACCTGAGGGAGAAGAAAAATAAGCTCTGTCAGAGAAGACATTTTTTATTTACCACTGTCTCACAGATATATTGCTATCATTATGAGGCTGCTGCTTCATCAGGGTCTTATTCTGCATTTGTCAAATCATACGCTAAGCTGCATTAACACAGTTAGACATCAACAAGCTATTCTTCAAGTAATGTTTTAATTGTTATTCTAAACATAAAGTAATGGATTAGTCATTAACGTTTGGTAGACAGATTGCTCTTTTTCTGTATCCTCTGTATCACTCCAAGTTTTCTACAAAATATCAAAGTGTTTTAAAAACTGCTATTCCTACAGTCCAAAAAAGCATTAAATCTCCAGGAGAAAGGCAAAAATGTGTAACTCTGCCCTTAGAATGTACCAGGTGCCTGAGAGTGCTACAAAAACACACTAATTGCATTTCTCCAAGGGCGTTTTGCTGCAATCCCCCCTTCCTGCCCAGCCCCTCCAGGGAAGGTTTCAGAGCTGTGCTTTGTACATGACTATGGCTGTATTCAGCGTGCAGCTTGGCTCTGAAAAACCCTGCAAAAATGCTGTCATGTGTCTGTGTCATCTGCCATGTGTCTTTCTGCATGCCAGCGATTCCCACATCAGGTTCTGCTGAGGTAACCCAGGCAAACAGCTTAGCTTAGGACGGCTGGGATCCTTCCTGCTCATCTGCCGCTTGGAGCAATGGAGGCCAATGACCAGAAGTGCTGTTTATCGCAACGGTTTCTTTTTGATACGATTAATCATTAATCAAGCTTGAACAGGAATGACTCTCAATTGGTATGGGAAGGATTTTCTAAAGTAGTCAAACATACAAACACAGAGGGAGACGAACAGGATTACACAGGTTAGGTTCTTTGGGAATTCCTACGAGGCAAGTATCTGCACCGTCATGGGTTGAAACACTTTTCAGCTCTCGTCTCAGAAATGAAAACTATAAAAGCAGAAATAACAGTGCTTTTGATTCAAAATAGGAAACAGAGTGCAACCAATGGTCCTTGGAGTGACACAGACTCTTCAAAGGTAACTGGAGTAAAAAAGCTGAAGAAAATTATTTTTGGCAATGCAGTAACCAGAAGACATCTCTGGATTCGAATGTACAAAGAAAAGATCTGTTGAGTACAGAAGAGGCATTTTTACATTGTTGTTTTTCAAAGTAAAACAACACTTCATCAGATTTATGGCTTTGTAGCCTAGAATTTTTCCAATAAATCATTTTAAAGAACCATCAACACTTCTCACAGAAAAAATCTTTTAGAATTACATGGTCCTTTCTTTCTTTGGCCTTACTGCTCCATTGCTCAGCCCTCAGAGTTTCTCATGTGTGATTTTTATTTATTTATTCACTTGGAAATCATCACTGCAACATTAAATAAGCAAGAAACATAAGTCAAGGAAAAATGGCAATACTTCGCCTGCAAAAACAGGCCAGAAACCAGCGCTTGCCTGTGTTTCTGAAGAGGACCTCTGAAAGCTGATGTAAAAATGACACGGAAAGGTTTCAGATTTACTCTCACTCTGGTCAGATCAGCTTATTTTAAATACTCTTCAGTCATTTTTTTTTCTAATTTTGAGACCAAAAACCTCTTTTCAGTTGGAAAAATCAAGCTGCTTTATTCTCCCTTGCGGTCCATCATCCAATTATTCAAAATCTGCACTAGAAAATAGCAAATACTTTCGCTGACAATGCGGGTAGCAGGAGGGAATCCAGCTCTTTGCACCAGCGTTACTGGTTTTGCAGCGCAGTGGTACCTACTTGTCCTGAATCAGTACGATCAGCAGAAATGCCTGAAGGACACAGAGGGAGCGTATCTCTTAAGTAAGAGATGCCTTTTTACAGTCACTCTTCTGACCATAACCACACTTCAAATTAAATTTTGAAGCATTTATTTTGTCCAGTCCAGCTGCCAGCATAAAGCAGCAAGTGTTTCCAGTTTCCCCAAGAGATGGCCCTGAGCTGTGAGGTTCAGACCCGGAGCTGAACTTCAGAGGCGTCTGGGGGTGTATAAAACCCTGCTATGAGGCCAGCGGACCCTTGGACTATCAGTCCTAGTCCTAGGGGAATGTTGGCACATGAGACCAACCCAGTATTGCCAGTTACTGCTTTCAGATCCTCCTTTCTTTTAAAAAGGTTGTGAGTGAACAGTCAAAGTCTTTAAAGGACTGAGCCTGTAAAACACTTTTCTGCCAGAAACCTGTGGCCATTTCTACACTGAAAATACCTGTCTATGCACCATTTAAGCTTAAATTACAAGCACTGCCCAAATGAGATAAACTTCTTGTTACACGTTAACTTGCTGTCCTGAGTAAAAGAAAAACCCTGTTCCGCATCTCAGCTGGAAAAATTTGGTGAACTCCAGTTAATTCTTAATCCTGTTGAAATCTGTTCAAATAACTTGATTAATCATTTCAACTTTTTGTGTGTCACTGGTAGCACTGAGAAGTAACATGCTGATTAAGTACTGTGTCAAAAATCAAGGCTTCAGCAAGGATTAGCAGAAACTCTCATCTATCACTGAACTAAATGAGCTTGAAAAATACCTCTAAATACTGCAAACTTAGAACAAAACCAAACCCAGCCAAAGCTCACACGGACAGTAACTGCTCAAACTCATTTTTATTCACCTACACCTTTTGCTACCTCTTCCTTGAAGCCTCCTTTCTACTCAAAAAACAAAACCCCAAGTATATTTGCAGACTGACTGACATGCCTTCTGCATGTGACAGCCCTCTAGGCAGGCACAAACCCGTAGGAAAGTGGACGAGAAGAGTGAGGTAGAGCTAGCTGCAGGTTCCTGGAATTGATCGTAACAGCGCTTGGTCCCTTGCCAAAGAGTTGCTGATGCAAACTTCATGAGTAAGTACAGCACCTGACTGTGGTGAGACCCGAGTCCAGGACACTTTAAGCACCCTGACTATGAATGCAAGTCTTTTGAAAAATCCTTCCTCGGCCAAACAACCCTAAAGGCCAGCCTAGAACCTGGCGCCAGGGGCCAAATCAAGCAGAGATGGTAGGAAGATTTCTGACAGCACAGCCTGCTCTCACTGCAGCCCCATGCTCAAACCATCCCATGAGTGCAGGCTGGCACCAGGGCTCATGGTCTCAAATATATCCAAATGCTAGAATAGTTTGCAACAGTTACTGCTTCTCAGGCTTTTGAAAATGCAAACTTTTTTTTGGCTCATCTGTGCCAGCGCAACTTCCACAACGGCTGCAGCTCAGTTCCTCTAGGTGTGGGGAGTGAGAGATGCTGTAATAGCAGGCTGCAGGTCAGCAACTACTAGTTAGCTTTAATTGCAGACAGCAGCTCAGTTACTGCAGTGGCAAGTGTTTACACCCTCTGCTTAGAGACACAGCAGATAATCAACTCCAGACTACTTTAAACGCTTACACACAGCAACTCCAGCCATTTTGCATTCTCCGACCCGCTCAACTACTGCTGGTAGCACTTTTTTCCCAAAGCTTGCCTTTCTTATTTGAACACTGCATTTTCTGTCCTGTCGAATCAGGCCTGGCCCTGACCCAAAGTGAGATCAGTCCCACGGCAAGGACATCAGCCACACACATGAGAGCTGTCAGCAGGGAGATCTTCTACTGACTGCCGAGCACAGCTTAACACTCGCTAGCAATGACCTCCACCTTGTAGCAGCTAAGTTGCAAACGTTGAAATTGCTGATAGAAATACCTCATGTTTCCAATGTCCAGAGAAAAGTGAATGTTCGGTAAATAAAAACAACTCAAATAAGCTTTAAAAAGACAGACCCAAACAACTGTGACTGATCTGATTAAAGTACAACAAACTCGATGTTGACCTGATATAACCTGGTAAAGTACTTCTCACTATGAGTCATTCTTCACATTTTACCAGGACAGAACCTACAGGAATGGTCTGTTCATGGTTGCTGGGTTGGTTATTTTTTTCTTCCTACAGCTAGAAAAACTTTAAATGAACTTGCTCAATGAATAAACGTAGACAGGAATAAAGGGTGAAATAAAGCCAGCTTGATCCACATGCTCTTATGGAGATAAACTGCCTGGTTGGCATGTGGGAAACATCAAAGCAGCCCACAGGTCTCCTATTTGCTAGAGGTCTCAGATCTTGGCTTTTTCCAAAATGACTCCCTTACCATTACCAGTTGGAGAGGAGAGCCAACCTCCTAAAAGGGCAGAGTCAGCCCCCAAAAAATCCTTTGGCCATTAACTCCCATGCAATACTCCTGCAATGGAGGGGCAAACACATTCCTTATGGAGGCTGATTTTCCTAAGGCACTCCTTTTATGAAGCTTTTGTGGGATGTTTTAAAACAGAGTCCTGCACAACCCATGGTAACCCCTGTTAGAGCTGGGACCGTGGGCTGCTGCAGCACTACCCCCTCACGAGAAGGGCAGGCCCAGCTGTCCTGCGGAGCAGGAGCGCTCACCCAAAATCCTCCTCCACAACCCACAACTGCTCCATCACTTCATTTCTGCTGCAGATGGGACTGTGTGGATGACAGGAATGACTCCTGGTCCGGGCACGTAGTCGCCATGCACAGCCCTGGCCTCCTGCTAGCACCCTCCCTAAAGGGCAGCTGGAAGCACTTCTGCTCCTGCTGCTCTTCTCGCCTTTTCCAGGTTAGAGTGTGGAGGACAAGATGTGACAGCTGCTTTTTCCTGCAACTGACTTGACCAAAGAAGTACATAAACTAATGCTGAATGGACTGCAGATGGAAACTGCTGCTGTACAGCTAACATCTGGGTTTAGAAAGCAGGCAATGCAAAGAGAATTTCTGTTCGTAGTTTAACATGAAGTAACTCCCTCTTCAAATAAAGACTTCAACCTCAAGGCTGTGACTCATTATAATATATGACACAGATCACTACAACGATTAGAAATGAGACTTTATCACTGGTCCTAATGGACTACAGCCAGCAAAAACTATCATTT